TTATCAAAAAATTGTCCTTAAAGATATTTTGTAAAAGTAGGTCAAAGAGATGTACACCCAGGTTCAATGCAGCATTGTTTTTTTGTTGTTGTTTGTTTGTTTTTGTCCTTTTGAGATATGGTCTCACTATGTAGTTTCGGCTGATTGTGAACTCACTTTGTAGCCCAGGCTGGCCTTCAACTCACAATGGATCCTCCTGCCTCAGCCTCCCAAGTGCTGGGATTACAGGTGTGTGCCACCACACCTGGCCAGCATTGTTTGTAAGTAGCCAAAAACAGGATACAAAGTCCTGATTTATAGGTGCTATCATATTAATGAAATATCACATAGTAATTAAAAGTATGCCAGATCTGTAAGTGCTGCTATGGAAAGACCTCCAGACATATTAACTGAAATAAGAAATTGAGAACAGTGGGTACTATTACATGGTTCCTTCAGTCTGAATTCTTTAATGGATACACATTCATGCTGGTAACTGCATCAAACTATGTTCTAAAAAGAAATATAAGGAACTAAAATTGTTTACTGTAGTTACCTTTGGAGAGAGTGACTAGAGGCCAGGAAGTAAAAGAACCACATTAATGTACAAATATTCAAAAACCATACAAGTAACAGAAATAATCTGGAGATATTTTTTCATTACACTTAAATTCAATAAATGTTACTGTAAAAAAAAAAAGCAATGATCATCACTCAGATTGGTGGGGGGTGTCTGGGGAGTGAACTCAGGACTTTCACAGAGTTACATCCTCAGTTCCATTTTTAAAATTTGAAAACAGGGTCTTGCTAAGTCACCCAAGTTGCGCTTGAAATTTCAATTCTCCTGTCTCAGGCTCCTAGAGCGTTAGGATGACGGGCATATGCAACCCTGCTTAGCTAACTTAGAAAGTTTCTTAAAAGAAAACAAACTATGTTTAATGAGAAGACAAGTGTAAAGGGGAAAAGGGTCTATATGATGCACAGCAAGAAACTAGAGGAGGAGACTGGAGGATAATCAAGAGGAGAATTAAAACACTCACACCCCTACCCCCATCTGCTGAGATCATGAATCAGTCAAGCTTTCACTGGAGATGATTACCTCAGTGCCCACTCCAGTTGCCAGCTATTCTTTGCACCTGTACGTGGGGGAGTAGTAGGCTGGGAAAAGGCTGGCATAGTTTGTCCAAATCTTGCCTGTTATAATATAAAAGAGGCAGAACAGCTGTCCTCAAACAGCATGAAGTGGCAGAGAACACTACTGCTGAACGCAGGAGACTGTCTTCCTCACAGGCAGTGCAGAGGCACATCTGGGGCCACTACATGCACTGGAAAAGCAAGAGCCAGGTCTGTATGTAACACAAAGGGCAGGCGAAACCTCTCCTGCCCTATGGAGTCTCCCAGATCCCTGCTCAACATGACGGAACCCCTCTGAGCCACACAGATCTGCTGTAATAGCTCTAACGCCTTCTGACTGCCCCACAGAGAGAATCAGCTAGGACTAAAATTCAAGAAGATAATCCGCTATACTTACTGCCCCTTTACTGGAGGCCCATGAAATAAATTATAACTTTGCTTATTTCCTACGACATTCTTTCACAATACTGCTTTCTGCAGTAGGAAACTGCCTCCACAATGGATTTCCAGAGGAGCTAGCTGTCTTTTCTAAAGCAAAGCTGGCTTTATACAGCAGTGCCATAAAAGGTCACCCCTCCCTCACCGGATTTATAGAACATGAAAAGGCCTTCTATCTGCCATTATCCGCATGTCCTTCAATGCCTGAAATTCCCCCATTAGTGACTCATACCAAAAGGTTGGAGAATGCGAGGTGTACTTGTTTAGTAATGAAAAGGAGAAAATCTATCCCTAACATCACAGTATACTGGCTCTGAACTTTTTGCTGTTGTGCTCACTAGCCCTTTCAAGAAAATGGAAAAAACAAACTTCCTTCTCAGAAAAAGACACTTCTACAAATATACAATATATGTTTTCCGTACAATGTTGGGGGTTCACAGTTCTCCAGAAGCCCAGAAAAGGACACCCTTCATCCTAGGGTTAAGAACCTCTGGCTCAGCAGCAATGAGCCCGGCAAATCTCCATCTCCCCCACTCCCCCACTCCAAAAGTACCTGTGCATCATCTAGGCAGTGCTCAGCCTCAAATGAGAAGGCAGTATTGAAAGGAGGCTCTCTCCCCTTCATACATCTGCCTGGAACTGACCTGTCTGCAGTCCTGATTATAATTTAGGACTCCTCTTCTCTACAGCAGGGAGTGTTGGGTTTCTCATTCTGTCTGCTGCTCAGGAATAGGTTCTCCTTGGTTCAGAGATAGCAGTGCACATTAAGAGATGCCCAACTGAAAGCAATGGCCAAGCAAGTTCTCACATACTTGCTGGCTCATCTCTTTACCTGAGAAAGGAGGGAGGGAAAAGTTTGAAAACTCTATGAATCAAGAGAGACTCACCTCTGAGGTTTTCGAATATCCCAAAGTCCTACTCCTTCCTTTGAATTGGCCGTGGCCAATAACCTGGGCTCCACAGGGTTAAACATGACACTGTGAAAGGCTGAAGGATAGTTTGCCAAGCAGAAGGGCTCTGTGAAAAAAGAAATTACAATCAGCTCATTCTAGGCACATCGGGTCAGTGGCAGGCAGATGACCACAAGTATGAATCTGTGTAGGAAAACACAATAACCTTCCCAAAAGGCCAGAACCCCAACACAATACAGCCCCCAGCAGGTACCCTTCCTGAAGGTCCCTCTGAGCCTGCACAGGCTTTCTGCATGCAACAAAACAATAGCTACTTAAACACATTTAACCAAATTTTAAGTCATAATACTCACAAATCTATATAATCCCTTAAAGGGAGAAAGATAAAATCTTTCACAGTTAGTAAAACTGAACTGCACATAAGCTAAAAAAATTCATGATCAATATATGGTAGGATTATATTTTTAATTCAAAGTTATTAGTTTTAAAATTAAAAGTTCTTAAACTACAAATAGATTTAATAAAGCAAGACAGTGAGAAAATTAAGGCAAAACAATAGCACAGTTCTCCCTTCTGGTTTATAATGTTAGCGAAGTTGCTCAATGTAGATTTTTATGATCTGGTTTATAATGTTAGCGAAGTTGCTCAATGTAGATTTTTATGACCTGACTGCCAGTATTATTTTTACTTTTTAAAAATGCCTAATGCTTGAACTTCTGCATCCAGCTAGTTCTTAGTCAACTTCACCTAGAACCCTCGCATCCTTTGGCATAAATTATTAAGAAGGAATCACTTTGCTACCTCAAAGGACACATTCCTGTGGAGGGTGTTATAGCCAAAGAGAGCCCTTTTCCATCTCTGATAGCCACATATAGTTCTGCACTAGGCTCTAGGAAGGTGAAGAGCTTAGTTATCTCACCATCAGGAAGTGAAGATGTAGGAAAACCTCCTCTCCCAAGCACAAAGAGACTCAGCCATAGCCACTGCTTGCTGTAACCTGGCCTGCCTAACCATTAGGACAAGCTTCTCTGATAGCCTGAACCTCAATTAACAAGCACAGCTCAGCATATTCAATGCTTGAAATACAGAAAAGTAAGGGCTAGGATGTAGCTTAGGAGTAGAGTACTTGCCTAGTGTGTGATGTAGCCCTGGGTTTGATTCCCAGCACCACACACAAGAAAGACTCAAACCTGCCAGACAAAGCAGGCAGGACCACAACTCTGTACAGAGCTGATCATTATGAAACCAAACTAAGGATGGAGGTGGGATGGGGTGTCACAAAGGTGGAACTAGAGAAAGGGCCCTTTAAAGACAGCTGCAGAGAGAAATCCCTCCACGACAAATGAGCTGAGAAAATGCACTTCCTGAAGAACGTGTGAGAAAGTTAACAAAACAAGTTCTTCATTTCACATGCCAGAGACTAAAAGAATACATTTGGAGGAGACATTCACAGATAAATGCCTGTACATGGAATATATCTGCCACTATTTTGTGATGTTCTACACAGGTAAGGTCACACTCTGTGGTTGTTTTTGTTTTCTAATAGAAGAGCAAGATTTGAAACTAGTTTTACAAGAAGGTGCATAGCATCCCTGTTCTTTATAAACAACCAAGGACATACGTGTGTCAGCACCACACAGAGTGGGCCCTTGGTGACCACCCTCCACAAGGAAGTGCCACATCTACTGCTCCTTGGGGCCACTCAGGGCCCAGTCGTGAGGGTTTGTGCAAATTCATAGGAATTTGTTTTCTAATAGGAGAAGGGTTGGCAAAGGTGCCTAACTTCTAACTACTCAGAGCAGGATGGGACTTTCAAAGGCACACAAGCACGCTGCCATGTGAGTCTCATGTTTTCCCTTCCTTAATGTCACCATACCCACATAACTCAGGTCCTAAACTGACTCTTCAGTGACTCTGTCATCAAACTGTTCAAGACAACAGCCTTCTTTCTGTACAGGGATCCTACCTCCATGAGGAGACTCCCGGATGTCCCAAATGAGAACCCGGCCATCATCTGAAGAGCTGGCAAAAATGTTGTCATTTACTGGGCTGACCGACAAGCCATATACTGCATCTTCATGAGCAAACACATCCAAGGTCTCACTGCTGAGAAAGAGCAAGAGAGAGGCATACAGGCACACACATGCACACAAACGGTGCAGTCCCAGCCCGCTAGCACCCAGACTGCAGGTTCTATTGTTTCTACGAGAAAGTCAACCCAGCTGAACATAAAGGACACTTTATTTCCTAAAAGGTGAGTATTTAACTTACAAGTAGGGGGGAGAAGGTACTATTTAAAGGTACCATTTCCATAAAATTTTGTAATTTTCACACTAAGCATATTTAAAAGCGACTCAACAGGTGACTTTTCTTTTTTTCATTTATTACACAATGTATTTACTTGTGTCCAGATTTGAGGGAAGTTCTTCATTTCCAAAAATCAAGGAAAAGCTTTAAAGCAGCCAGATCTGATCACAAAAGGGGTGGGAGATCATCTCCCTATAGTCTGGCATGGGGATTAAGAGCACAACTTGGAGCTAGACAGCCTAAATTCAGATCCTAGCATCATTCTCTGTGATTTCTTTCCCTCTTCTGGAATGGAGATCACAAGAGTACGCCTTACAAAATGACCATGATGGTTAAATCAATTATAGTAATACATACAGAACACACAGAATAGTTTCTGGCACATGGTAGTAAGAACTCAATAAATATTAGCTTGATGAGGAAGATGATGTTTTTTTTTGTTTTGTTTTTTTGTTTTGTTTTTCTCCAGTACCGGGAACCGAACTCACGACCTTGCGCTTGCCAGGCAGGCGCTTTTGCCGCTGAGCTAAATCCCCAGCCCGAAGATGATGATTTTTAAGACTAGCTCTTGCTGTGTTGCCCAGACTGCCTTTGAACACATAATCTTCCTGCCTCTGCCTCCTAAATAGCTGGGATTATAGGCGTGAGCCATCAAAACCGGGTATTATTACTAGTATTATTATTATTTCTCTCCTTCTAACTATTCTCCTTATATTTTCACCTGAAAACTATCATTTCACATAACTTTGTAAAGCTCTTTTTCTTTTTCTCCTGTTTTGAGACAGAGTCTCACTATGTAGTTCAAGCTGGCTAGTGAATCCTCCCAGTGTTAGGATTACAGGCATGTGCCACCATGCCCAGCTTATTTTTTTCTTTTTTAAATCAAAACCTTATTTCAAAAATATCACAGGAAACTTTTCCAGAAAAGGACCACTAGTTCCATGTTATTTTCTTCAAAAGCTATTTTGGTCTAAAAAAAAAAAATCTGCCTATCTTCATATAAAAAAGTTATTCACCTTCATACAACAATCTATTTACCTTTCAACATCATGGAGGATAACTTGCTCATCATTTCCTGTAAAGGAAAAAAGCAGAGATTTGATAATTCCTGCAAGTTGGTCCCTGTCCACATCACAATGTAGTATTTTTGAGTTTTCAGGGAAAAAAATATGAACACGGTCATTGTTAATACTAATTAGGAGCATTAATTAAAAAAGGATCTATATTTAAGGACAGAACATTCTGACAGAGAATTTTAAGAAAACATAATAGCAATAAGGTATAACATAATAATAGTTCAAGATATATTATCCAGTGGATTAGTCAAAAAACTTTGGCATTAGGAAAAACAGAAAATGATTAAATAATTTCCTCAGCCAAGCGAGCTTCTTCTACCCTCTAGCAAAACTCGTTAGCTAAGACTGGAATAGTATCTCTAGCATTTCTACACCTCAGCTGTTTATCTGAACACAGAGATAGTAATTGCATCTACTTCACACTGCTATTGTAAGGGTATGAGTCTGTGAAAGCATTCAGAATGGGTTGAGCACCTGCAAGTCTGTAACAGTGATGGTAAACCTTTTAGAGTTTTCAATGATACAAACAGCCCACTATGGCACGTGTGCCAGAGGTTCGCCACCAATGGTCTATGATAAATGTTTGCCACCATTCCCATCTTCATCTTCCTTTATAGCATTAAAACATGATGACTATGTGATTCTAAATGATGGGGAAGTTTTTCTCTTTCTCCTTATTCTATCAAAGGGTCTAAAAATATTATATGCACAATATGACTTCAAAACAGTTTATATAGCCAAAAACCAAAAACCTAAATATAAAAAGACAGAAAGTAAAATATATGCCACTCTATGCTTAAATGTACACCCACTAGTCACTTAATAGAAAGCAAAAGAAGCACTAAAGACATGGATATCTTAAATTTCAAAGCCCTCCCTGTAAATTCTACCTTGGGTACATGGGAATGAAATTGATAAACCCACACTAATGCCTTCCAGGTATCAGGCACAGGGTAGGTGCTGAGGATGTGAGAAGAACTAGATTTTACTCCATCGTTTAGGAGCCGACAATCTAAACACACAAACTAGCAGCAGCATGAGGATTTGTCTTGCAGTGGTTTAGCTATGGGACAATTACATCCTTCATGTGCAGAGAGAAAGTAGAATGGAATAATACATTTGAAGAGAAAGTGAAGAGAATAATACATTTGAAGAGACTCTCCTATTACTCAAAACTCTTACCAGTGGGAGGGGATCAGAGAGTTAAGGTACAGAACCAAAGGCTCAAGGGGAAAATAACACAGCACAGTACACACCTACGATGGGAAGTAGTTTAGTGGGTGTCACAGACAAGGGAAATGAGGCGAGAGAAGCAGATTGGAATTGAGATTTTATTCTACAGGCATTAAAGAGTTAAAGGTACACATGGTCAAATCTGTATTCTTAAGTGAAAATTTATGCAAGCAATGACAGAAAGCCATTATAGTAGCTGAGGCCAAAGATGAAGGGCAGTGGATACCAAAAGAGCACAGAAACTGAAGGATGCATCTGAGAGACTTTCAAGATAGAACTGACAGGACTTAGTGACCAACTACACATGTAAATGAAAGAAAGGTCTGAGGATGGCTTCAAGAGCACTATTAATGAAAACCATGTGAAACTGTTGGTTTTATGTTAAAAATGGCTACATGTTAGCAGTTTATCTTGGTTTTAGATCTGTTGCATTTTTATTTTACTTTGTATTTTTTTGAGACAGGGTCTTACTATGTAGTTCAGGCTGTCCTTAAACTATGTAGTCCAGGCTGGCCTTGAACTTGTGGCGATCCTCCTGCCTCAGTTTCCTGAGTGCTGAGATTACAGGCTGCACCAGCACACCTGGCTTTTTGTTTGTTTTTTATGGTGCTAGGAGTGAACCCCGGCCCTCACATACAGTAGGCAGACACTGCCGATGAACTACATTCCCACCCAGCCTGATAGGCTCCATTTAAATGATTTTTGAAACACAAGCAGAGGCCCAGTGGGAAAACCTGCAGCTCAGAAGAGAGAAACGGTCTAGAAATTTGTTGTTCAGAAAGGGGTGGTTGACGGAAGACATCACCAAGAGATTAGCTTGAGCACTCGCCATTCCAATTGTACCCTAACACAATCCTTTCAAACAGAAGCCATCCGTGGGTCATGACATCAAATTCAGTTTTAGCGAGCAACATTGAAAATGAAACAGAGGGAGGGAGCTGGACTATATAGCAAGGACCTGTCAAAAAAAAAAGAGAGAGAGAAGGAAGAGAAAATAAAAAAACAAAAGAAAGAAAAGAAGAAAGAAAAAAAAAATCAAGAATATACCACATATAGTAAGGTAAGTTAATAAGCTGTGTGTATACCAGATTTCAACATAAAAAATTTTGGGCCAAAAAGAAAGAGGTTACAGAGAGGAGGTAGGAGAAAGGATACGGGAGAAATAAATCCTAACTCACAGGTCTACACTGCTTGATAAAGAGAACAGAATCTATGGGAAACCAGTAATTCCACAGCTCAGTAAGACATAGGAAGAAAAATAAGGAATAATTTTAGCACTCCTAAAATCCCGTAAGCTTCCTGTTCTTACCTCCAGAAAATACTTTGGTGTTCCCACTGTTGAAAGCCAAGCAAAAAATGTTGGAATGGTGCTCTCCTTTCAGCTGGACGGGCTTGACCCTGGAGTGGATAGCTTGTTCCATGTGCCACAGCAAAACCCGGCGGTCATCTCCTCCTTGAGAGGGGGTAAGAGTCCAGAGTTAAAACAGCTGACAGTCCAAGGCTGACAGTTTTGCCAGCCTCAAATTCCATCCTTTCCTACCTCCTCAATTCCGAAAGACTCTGATGGGGCACACAAACCCAGGACTCCATTTGTCCCCCCAATCCTTGGGACATATGACCTCTAGGCCACTCACTTTTTTCCAGGAATTGAATCTTACACAGAAAATATAGAAACTGACAGGGATAAACACTTATATTGAGACTACCCTCCAATTCTACCCTTCAACTATGAGTTCTGTGGGCTGGGATGGTACCTAAATTCTTTAGCTCTTAAAATTTACCACTTTGCAAAACAAGTTACAGTTATGAAAATAATGGTTTGGGGTTTTTGCTGTTTTATTGTAACGAATATGACAGTTTTTCACTCTACAAATAGATTTAGACATGTCATGCTGTGGATTCAGTTTCCCATGGCCGATACTTCTACTGTTTGCCCTCAACATGGAGGCCATGAGTCAGGGACTTATCACCCCTTCCCTACTGAGTTTTTTTTTAATATTAGAGACATATTTCTTGGGCAGAGGGTGTGGCTCAGTGGTAGAATCCTTGCCAGCACCCTTGTCTTTACTATCAAAAGTGAAAATTAAAAGACTGGTTCACATGCTTCTTCTTTCTATTTGCTGATGTTCCTAATTGCATCTTCCTGTACCTCAGTTTCATCAAATACAAAGTAGAAACCCTAACAGTTAATTCTTGGACTCTCATAAATTTTACAGATTAAAAGTCAAGAACAAGGGAGTTAAGTAACTTGCCAAGATCACCTACTTGTGAACTAAGATTCAAAAGTAATTAGACTTCACAGCCCCTATTCTTCACTACCCTGTATCAACTGCTTTACAGAACAAAAACTGAACCATAACCGACAAAACAAATTCATCTGATACACAACCAAAGCTATTCTCTTAGTACCGTTAACTCAAAAATGTTTATTTTAGGTAAGGGGGAAAAAAAAGCTCAGGATTAAAGACAAAGCAGATTCAACCCGAGTAAATGGAGGCACCACGATAGGACTGCCTAAAATTTTAAGGATCCTATCAATGTATAAAACTGCCAATGTCCAGGGCTTTAGCTCAGTCACATGATGCCTGCCTGACAAGCGTGAGGTCCTGAGTCCAATTCTTGATTCAAAAAAAAAAAAAAAGAGAGATAGATTTTTAAAAACTGCCAATTGGGGCTGGAGATCTAGCTCAGTGGCACAAGTGTCTGCCTGGCAAGTGCAAAGTCCTGAGTTCGATTCTCATCACCAAAAAATAAAAATAAAAAATAAAAACTGCCAATAGATTATCTAGAATAAAGAATTTCAAAACAAATCAGCAGCTGTCAGGGATTGGGGAGGTGTGAACAGGTATGTATATTATAATGAGGAATATATATCATTATATATTTGTCCAAAGCATAGAGTACACAACACCAGGGATGAATCCTAATGTAAACTACACACTCTGGGTGACTAGGGTGGACATCAACTGCAACAAATGTACCATTCTACAGGAGGATGCTGATAATATATATATGTGGAAGTGCAAAAGGTGTATAGGAAATCTGTGTCTTTTTCTTAATTTTGCTGTGAACCTAAAACTTCTCTAAAAAATAGATTTCAAAACAAAAAACAAAACAAGCAAAACAAAAAAGATTGAAAATAAATTTAACATAGGGGCTGGGGATTTAGCTCAGTGGCACAGTGCCTGCCTGGCAAGTGCAAGGTCATGAGTTCAATTCCTGGTACTGGAAGAAAAACAAAAAACAAACAAACAAACGAAAATAAATTTAAGAAATTGCCAACATCTTGCAAAATCTGATTATCTGACTTTTTAAACATTTAAACATTTAAATATTTAAATGTTTCTCTCTTTTTTTGGTCATTTTGAGACAGGGTCTTGCTATGCAGTTCAGGCTGGCCTTAAGCTCACTTTGTAGCCGAGGCTGGTCTCAAACTCACAATGATCCTCCTGCCTCAGCCTCCTGAGTGCTGGGATTAGTGGCATGTGTCACCACGCCCGGCAAAATATTTCCTATTAAGGAATTACTGTTATATTTCTTAAATATAACAATGGCACTATCATTGTGTTAAAAAAAAGTTCCCATTGGGGATGTTCACTAAGGTGGCTGACATGGTGTATGTCTGAAATTTCCTTTACAATGCCCCCAAAACAGAAGGAGAGGTGCTTACTAAAATGTGGAAATTGCTGTAAGCACACTGTCCTACTGTCCTACTCTACTTTTGTGTATGCTTGAGGATATCCAAAATAAAATATGAGATTGTTTTAATGTTCATTTTAGGAAAAAAGAAAAGATTCTGCAAAGCAGACTAGGATATGGCAAAGAAATAATAACTAAGAGCACCCTTATATTTATTTACTAAGATCTCTGCCAGGCAGCACAATCTCTTGAATGGGAGCAATTTAAAAAGAAACATTCAGTTAGAAACAGAGACTTACGTGTTTGCACTTCAACTCTTAGCCTAAGGTTTTTTCCCTGCATCGCCCAGACAACACTGTCTAATGTTCGTCTGAGGCATTTATCGTATGGTTTTTTTTTGTTGTTGTTGTTGTTTTTTTTTTTTGAGACAGGGTGTCACTTTGTATTTCACACTGGCCTTGATTTGTACTGATCCTCCTGCCTCAGCCTCCTAAATGCTGGGATTGCAAGGTACGTGCAACCACATCCAGTTTATAGTATGATTTAATCTTACCAAGTACTTAGTAACTCAAATCCTACAGTTATTGTTGAGTGTCTTGGATCACTTAAAATGATCTGTTTCTAGTATTTAATGTGACAATGACAGTCCATGGAACAAGTCACTGAGACAAAAATGATCACCGTGCCAGGGCCTGTGTCGATACTTTGCTCTCAAAGTAGTATAAGAGGATATAAAGCACATCACCCCCCACTCTTCCCATTTCCTTAGCCAAAGCATTAACAATCCTCTGGTAAGAGAACACTTTTTAATGAAGTGTTAGTTAAAACAACAAACGGGTGCATACTAAAGCCTAAACTAAAGACTGCTGGGCTGCTTTTAAGCCAGCAGAGGAAGCAGACCAATTGTGCCTATCCCACAAAGCAAAGGCTGGTGAAAAGCCAGCCACTGTGACGCTCGCCTGTCATCCTGGCACTCAGGAGGCTGAGGCAAGAGGACTGCCATGAGTTCAAGGCCAGCCTGGGCTACATAGTGAGTCCAAGGCCAGTCTGAACTGCATAGAAAAATCCTGTGTTTAAAAAAAAACAAAACAAAAGACGCTCTATAGTTCTCTTTGTACGAATTCCCTAGTCACTTAAAAAGAGGAGAGATTTGGGCCAGGAAGATAGCTTAAAAAGGGGAGACAGCGTCTTCTTGGCAAGCGCAAGGTCCTGAAATCGATTCCTAGTACCAAAAAAAGGGGGATTAAACTGAGCATGGTGGCACACACTACAATCCTAGTACAGTTAGAAACGAAGGAGCTGAGCCACCCCCTTCCCTTCTTTTAACTGTGAAATCACACCACCTTAATGATTACCTGTGTTTAAAGACCACCCTAACGATTGTCTGGCTGTGCACACTGCTGATATCAGAGACAGTGGGAGGCATCTTGGATCAGTGGTGCCTGACCCTATAAATGCCAGAAGCCTAAGTTACTGAGGCTCCCTTTCCCCCATCTTCACACTGGAGTCTCTTTTCCCTTCAGCCTTCTCCTTCATCCTGAGGGAGCTCTCAAATGCTTCTGTAGTATGGCATTGTTTGAAGAGCAAAAGACTAATCAATGTCCATCAACAAAAACCTGGTTAAAATTATTATTCAGGAAAGTAACCGAGATATGAAAGGATAAATACTCTAGGACTTCAATTACATGAAGTGCCTAGAGTAGACACATTGGAAAGAGAACAGAACAATGGTTTCAAGGCACTGGGGGGTACAGTATTGCTTAATGGGGACAGAATTTGTTTTTCCAGAGAAAAAAGTTCTAAAGATGGATGGTAATGATTGTTATGCAACACTGTGAAAATACTTAATACCACTGAAAAGGAAGTACACTTAAAATGTCTTAAAGATGGGCTGGGCACGGTGGCACACACCTGTAATCCCAGCACTCAAGAGGCTGAGGGAGGAGGATTGCTGTGAATTTGAGTCCATCCTGGGCTACACAGTGACGGGCTATAGTGAGTTCAACGCCAGCCTAGACTACATAGTGAGACCCTGTCTCAAAATGGAAAAAAAAAGTCTTAACAATGGCTTTGGTAAGTTTCATGATGATGTATTTACTTACTTACTATTTATTTACTTAATCTGTGGTACCCGGGATGAACCCAGTGCTTTCTCCCCACATCCACTGCCTTGCTTTGCTTTTTTTTTTGAGACAGGGTCTCCCTAAGTCACTAAGTTGCCCAGGCTGCGCTCAAACTTGCAAACCTCCTGCATCAGCCTCCCAGAGGGCTGGAATTACAGGCAGGAACTATCATACACAAATTTTACATACTTTCACAATTTAAAAATACAAGTTTTTGCTCATATATGTACTCTATAGCCTACATAAATAAGTAAAACATGAGGCAATTCTGGCTGTACTGATAGGGAGTAACCTCTAAAATATAAAGCATTTAATGGCTGTAGTATCTACAGTACTCAAAACATTTCCTTTTAGCAAATGGCATCATGGGATCAGATCTAGGGTTTTAGGTTTCACCTTGTAGAAATGACAAAAGTAATACCAAATAGAAAGTTATAGGAGTAAAAGTGCCACATTCTTCTGGCCTCAATTTTATGACTGTAAAGTGAAGAAAATACCACCTATCTTCCAGGCTTGTTGCATTAAGTGAGATAGTATGTGTAAAATGACCTAGCCTAAAGTTTCATGTATTATACACACCTCAAAACTCAAAATATCCTAGTTTTGCTTGTAATCCCAGCACTCTGAGAGGTTAATGGGGAAGGATCACAAATTCCAGCCTACCCTAGACAACCTAGTAACTTAGCAAGAA